TACACAGGATACATACGCACTAATAATTAGTGATCACTTTGGTGTGTTTCCAGAATAGTTTTGAACCAAATCTGTAGAATGATATTTCACCAGAAAAGTCGTATACAACAAATTTCAATCAACAAAGCACAAATCTGATATGATTAATTCAAGCATAAGATATCAAGAATGTAAAATACTTCAGAACCCAAAATAGTAACAAAATGTTCACCCATCAAAATCTATTTTAATAACACACATTAAGTACATATATAAGAAAACTTGATGCTCAAGTATTCAACACTCCAATGATTTTTACACAGCTGGAATTTTTTGCTAGAGTATTGTATTCTTCTTCAATACAGAAACTGACAAAAGGAGGGATACATACCCCCAAAAGGAAATTTGAACATATAATTACAGTCACCTATAAATACAAAAGTTATCATCAATTCTTGACAAGAAACTGTAGGAAAAAGTGGTCGGAGGTGCTGGAAATTTTTCTTGAGGTTTTGATGTATGGGCTTTCTTCGATTAGCCGGAAGAGTGGTCGGAGGTGCTGGAAATAGGACGAAGAAAGCTGGGCGGCGGGAGAGCAATTTGGGGGAAAAAGGAAGATTAACTCGTACCAATTTCCAGCTTTTTCCATTTTATGGTCAAGCCCAGTTTTGGTTTGAGTTAAATCCGGTTCCTTTATTTTATTTTATTTTATTGTCCACAGCTTTTGCCTGCCACATCATCACTTTTGAATTCCTGTAATAACTTTCCCCTACTTATAGAATTACTCATTTATATTAGGGCTCCGTTCGGGAGGGCTTAAAATCCAATTAAAATTGAAAATATGGTCGTTATTGGGTCTCACCTGTCTAATAAAAATCAACAATAACGGCTATATTTTCAATTTTAATCTGATTTTAATCCCTCCCAAACAAGCTCTAGGTATTTTCTTGTAAAGATAGTAGGAGTGGGCGTGGGTTGGGTTGGGTCGGTTTTTGCCCCAACCCAACCCAACACTATCGGTTTGTTCGAAATCCAACCCAACCCAACCCATGTAAATGTTGAAACCCAACCCAACCCAACCCAACCCAAC